GGCGTCTTAAAGGGACCGCGCCGGGCGCGGGGAGCCCGCCCGCACACACCCAGGCGCGGGGAAGCCCGAGGCCCGAGCGCGGCGAGCCCGGCTGACCCACGCCCAGTCCAGGGCCCACCCCGCTTCAAAGCGCAGCTGGACCGAGGCTCCAGCACGGAGGAGCCCTGGATCCCGGACCCCCACAGCTCGAGAGTGGCTCCCACTTGGGGCCACCAACCCAGAGGGGATCGGGCCGCGCCGTCCCAGCGTGGTGGGCCGGGATGACGGACCAAGTGACCACGCGACCAAGCGGCAGCCCCGGCAGGATTGTCACAGACCCTGCGCCCTTGTTGATCGTAAATAAACATTCCTGGCCCGGGTCGCTCAAGGTCCACACCTCCCTTCCTGCAGTCCCGTGTTTCCTCCCCTCCCCCGCCTCTCCTGAGCGCCATGGAGCAGTTTTGGTTTTGGGGGGAGGGGCTTCTGAGGGGGTTACCAGCCTCCACTGTGGCCCGCGCAGGGCTGAGCGGAAGCCAGGGCAGCCCAGAGCCCGCAGGGAGACGAAGCAGAGCCTTCCGAGAGTCCCATGGAATAACAGGGAAAATTTCCACAGCAGTCTGCTGGGTGGCTGCGAAAGGAATGGGATTAGTAGCCTCTGAACCGGCCTCCCTGCCTGGCTCTGGGTTTCCTAGGCTTGCAACCAGGAATACCTGCCAGGAATGGCAAGTGTCACCTTACCCTCCTCATGTCACATATATACAATATACTTGTAAATTGCTTAGTGATGCCCCTTTGGGTTTCCGAGGTGGTAAATCTTTACGGAAGTAGCTTGCCCAGTCTTCCTTCTGCGGAGTGGCTGGTGGGTTTGAACTGCTGACCTTCTGGTTAGCAGTCAAATGCCTTAGGCACTATGCCACCAGAGCTCTTTGGAATATTTCATAGACAATATGAATACCAGGAGCTCTGGTGGAGTAGTGTTTAAAACACTGGGCTGCTAAATAAAAGGTAAGTGGTACAAATCCACCAGCTACTCTGTAGAAGAAAGAGGAGGCAGCCGACTTCCATAAAGATTGACAGGCTGCAAAACCCTGTGGGGCAGTTCCACTCTGTCCTCTAGGGGGCTGTGAGTGGAATCAACTCCATAGCAGTAGGTTGGACCTGGATACTAAGAGCAACATTGTTTTGTAAGATCCTTCTACATTGAATTGCAACATTATTAGTTACATCATTAGTAACTGAGCAGAAGTCTTTTCTGGTTTTCTTTTCCTTTTAACAATGAAGTCATCTCAAAAAAAAATATCGATATAGGTTCCCAAATACTACTTACGGAAACCAAAAACCAAATTCACTACCATTGAGTTGATACCAACTCATAGAAATCCCCTTTGGGTTTCCAAAGTGGTAGGTAGATCTTTATGGAAGTAGATCGCTCATCTTCCTTCCTCAGAGCAGCTGGTGGATTTGAACCGCCAACCTCCTGGTTAGCAGTCAAGTGCCTTAGGCACCACACCACCATAGATCCTTAATTACAATAGTGTAGCTAAAACACTGGGAAGTATGATGAAATTAGCAACTCTAGAAACATGCCACCAGCAACGAAAAGAACAGTGCATCCTTGTAGCTTGTTGAGACAAAACCGTGTGATTCCAAGCATCATTGTAATCTGGAAACAATGGAGTTCTGACCCCAGCACGTTAGAAGGTTCAAGAAGGAAATTAGCCTGGGGTTTTAGCCTTGTAGGTATATTGAGGCATGTAAGCTAGACTTACAACAACAACAAAAAAAATGGTGTTCTAACTAGCTACAGGGATATTTGTATTCAAAATAATAATAAATTCCTGCTGAAATACTGCAAGAACATTTGATAAACAGTCATTTTGGTGTCACTCCGTCTCGCAGCATCACCTGGTGCCGTCCGCACCCCCTACACCACCCTAGTGGCATGCCAATGCCTCCCAGAGCAGGTGCACCCCCAGGTCCAAGGTCTACCTTGGAACAGAGCCTGTGCTGGGGCTCAGGTCTCCCCACGTCACTCTGGGTGGGCTTAGCAACCTCCCAAGCCCCCATTCCACCCTCATCTGTAAAGTATGTCATCATGTAGCTGAGTGAGGCAAAAATAAAATGTCCCCTATAAATGGCACGGGGGGGTGGCTCTTTGAGTACCTCCTAACTGGTAGCCTGACAGAGTTGCCTGAAAACCCTTGCCCCACCCCTTCTGGGCAAGGTGGTCTCTGCACAGCTGACTGGTGCCCTCTGCAGGCCTCTCCAGCCATCTGCCTCTCCAACCCTCTGGAGAGCCCGTAAAGGTGTGCTGGGCGGGCTGAGTGGGCGTTACCCGTGTTGTTTGGAGTCCAGTCCAATCCACAGGGACCTTACGTGCCATGAGAGCCATCGTGCTGCTGTCAGATGGATCTTGGCTGAAAGCAGACGGTACCAGAAAGATGCGTACCTGTGCTTTATTGACTGTGCAAAGGCATTGGGCGGCGTGGATCACAACAAATTATGGACAACATTGAGAAGAATGGGAATTCCGGAGCACTTAATTGTGCTCATGAGGAACCTGTAAAGCTGTCGTTTGAACAGAACAAGGGGATGTTGAATGATTTTACATCAGGAAGGGTGTGCGTCAGGGTTGTGTCCTTGCACCATACGTATTCAACCTGTATGCTGAGCAGCCGGAATGTGCCTGGAACGTTCTGAAGATGCCGACACCTGCTCTCACGTACATGTAACCAGGCAGGACCAGTCGGTGGAGAAGGACATCGTGTTTGGTGATGTGGACGGTCACCGAAATGAAACAAGACTCGGGAGGATGGACTGACATGGTGGCTGCATCGATGGGCTCAAGCACAGCAAGGACTGTGAGGCCGGCGCGGGGCCCGGCGGGGCCTCGTTCTGTTGGGCGCAGGGTCGCTAAGGGTCAGAACCGACTCAGTGGCACCTAATGACACGAAATATGCTGAACACATAATCTGAAAGGTTGGACTGTATGAAGAGGAACGTGACATCAGGGTTAGGAGGAAACTGACTGACAACCTGCGATATGCAGATGACACGGAGGAGGCAATAAGCCACGTGTGGGCGGGGCCTGACTTCAGAGCCAGGCAGCGCAGGCTGCAATCCCTAGAGTGGACATGGAGCCTGTTCTCATCCTCAGTGCAGTCATCTTTAAAGTGGGCGCAATGAGTCCTGCCACCCCATCCGACGGTGTATCACACCATACTGGCTTATGTGTTCTGTGAGGCTGAAGGCTATGCCACCAATACTTCAAATACCAGCAAGGTCACTCACAGTGGATGGTGTAAGGTTGCAGCGAAGAAGAGAGGAGGCACAAAGAGCAGGATAAAGAAAAGTTTTATTCTGTGCTCCGGCGAGGTTCACGGGTCCCCGAGAGGGACCCAGGCGAGGTTCACGGTCCCCGAGAGGAGGCCAGAGAAGTTGCACCGCCTGGACGGGAGGGAGAGGTGTATATAGTTGCGTTTTCTCCCTCCCCAGTGACCTGAGTGGAAGCAGAAGGATTAGGCGGGAACCAATCAGGTGGAAGCACTCATGAGCATAATGTGGGGAAATAGTTGGGGAGCGGGGAGGCCCTGTGCTGCTTCCAGGAACAAAGGGCTATCCGCATCCGGGTTCGACGTGGGCTTCGGTTAGGTTCTTTCCTGACTGGCCAGTTGGTAAGTTCTTCTTGCATGGTTGGTCAGTGTGTAATTTCATTTTGCTCAATCCTTTACCCACCTGACTTGCCGTGTTTCCCGCCTGACAGATGGGTTTCAACGGAGCTTCCAGACTGAACAGACCAGGAAGAAAGCCCTGGTGATCCACTTTTGCAAACGCCAAGGAAAGCTGTCCGGATCACAGTGGGATGTGCTTGCTTTGGACACGCCACTAGGGGAGACCAATCGATAGAGGAGAACATAGAGTTTGCTGAAGCAGACAGTCAGTCATAGGGGGTGAGGCTGACCCAGGGGCATGGATTGGTGCAGTAGCCACAGCAATGGATTGCAATGTCCTGATGACAGTGAGGATGGCAGGGGACCAGGTGCCATTTTGTTCTGCGATCCATAAGATCACCATGAGTCACTCCCAGCTCAGCGACAGCCAGCTCTCCTGCTCTCTCTAACTTCCTCGTGTGGCTCCTGGAACTTGAAATACAGCGAGTGCGACTGAGGAACTGGAATTTTCACTTCATTTTAAGGAGCTCTGGTAGTGCAGTGCCTAAGGCACTTGACTGATAACCAGAAGGTTGACGGTTCAAGCCCACCAGAAGGAAGATGGGGCAAACTACTTCCGTAAAGATTTACCACCTCAGAAACCCAATGGGGGTCGCTATGGGTCGAAATCTTTCATTAATGTGAATTTAAGTAGCCCT